TATATATATATATATATATATATATATATATAGTTTTTTATAAATAAAAAATATTACGAGCCGATTTAGAGTAGTTCAAGCAAATCCAGGTATGACTTGAAATCAGTTTGAGAAAAATTCAATCCAAAATTTCGGCTCATAGCTGAGCTCTTTTATTTCAATCCAATCTTGAACCGAGCCAAAATTTGAATATCCTTTTTATCAATTTCTTGGGGCTAAATTTATAGCTCTACTATCATCCTTATTTATTAACTAAGAGTTACGCACGGTGAGATTAGCCGTCTCCATAAGCAAATAAATTCAACCTTAATGACTTGGTTGTTTAATACTCAAATAGCTTTTACTAATTTCTTTTATGTCCTTCTTCTTCTTTAATAGTAGCAAGAACTTTCTTGATTGTAGCTGTATGAGGATTTTGTTAAAGGTCTCTGCTATATTGCTAATTTATGGTAAAATATTACTAATTTATGTGCCGCCGTTAAACAAATTTATTGAATTGATTAACCTTTCTTAAAGTCACCATCATTATCAATGATGTTATGACAAATAAAATTAATATGGCAGCCCATGTGGGCCCCTAAAAAACTTTACTTCATTCTCTGCTCTAACTCTTCTCTATGGATTAGCTTCAACATTTGAAAAGGTAATAGATGATATAATTTTTACTTGATACATGCCCTATAAGTTTTTTAAATGTCATTTAACTTCCATTATCATTAGTTTAATAACTTAAAAAATTATGAAATAAATGAATATTTATAAATACTATAATATGTCTAAAACACATTGCCAAAAAACCGGCTAATTTTTTAAGAAAGGCTAGTATTTATATATATATCTGGGGTATTTGTTTCATGTATAAGTAAGGAGGTATCATATGTAAAAATTGAAGTAGGGGTGTTAAGATAAGTAAATATATAAGAATTGAGAGGTATACGTGCAAACCTTCCAAAAAAATGTTCAATTTAATTTTCTTATTTTTATTTTTGAAATGATGATGCATAGGTTTTAAGAGTTCCTCATAATCTTAAATGCTCAAATGCAGAAACGATCTTCTGGTAGTGTTCGGTCGCCATTCACGAAGCTTTAGCAAAGAAGTCGCCCCTTCCTCAGTTTTCTTGCGCTCCACGGAAGCAGGCTTCCATTTTCCGAGCCGCCCCAGCCGCATGTTGTGATTGGAGGATTCTTATCCTCATCGAATCGACTCTCTTGTAGCTTTCGTTTTGCTCCTGAATATTCTCTTGTTCCTGGTGGCGTTGGCGTCGAAAGTTGGGGGATCTCTCATCTTATCAGGCTTTTGCTCTTCGGATTGGAAACCTGGATTCGAGGGTGAACATGGCGTCCTTCGATCAGAAGGAGATCAATTGGGACAAGTAAGCTAGGATATATCCCTTCTTTATTCGGCATTCCATTTCCTTATCGGAGTTTGACCTTAAAAGCTAGGGTTTCGAGCTTCCCCGGATTCCTTTTTTTTATTTTTTGGTTCCTCATATTTTTTGTTATTTTTTTTTTCATCTTTTACTTTTGCGAGATATGTTTGTTTGTGCCAGTCTTCTCAAACAATTGGGCTTACTTATTTATCAATTGCATTTTCTTCTTTAAAAGGTGTCTTTTTGCTACTGCTTTATTTGGTAAATTTATAATGAGAACAGTTGCAATTATTCATTATGATCCCTTCCCTCACTGGTGCAGTTATTTGGATATAATAGCTGCTTGATTTGGAATAGCGGGGTGCTTATGTCTATGTTAGATCGGCATTTGGGATACCATAGCGTGATTAACATTTAAAAGCCTCCGTCACACTTGTCATATTGCGGCAGTTCTGCTCATTTGCATGAGCTATCTTCTAACTGCTACTGCTATTGATATGCATATATATTATTCAATGCCGTCCATCAAACTATAGCAGCTGGCAGTAGTTCTTTGATCTAATGATTGTGGGATTTTGCATTCCATGCTGCCAATGGTTTTTCTGTAGGATGGTTTTAGAGTTGTGAATTAATGCCTGAATATGTGCTCTAATATCCACTTATTTGGCTGTCTCGCTCAGGCAAGTAGAAGGCAGGTTGCCTGAAAAAAATTAATAGCAAAGTGCACTTTCTTAGATTGGTCACTGGAATTTCTGAAATAAGCAAACAAATGGCAAAAATTGATATATTCCTGATTTACAGCATTATTTAATCCTAATTGGATGATGCTTCTTTTTGTTGTTTGTCTTGGCATTTTATCAATGTATGTATAGGTGGAGAAAAACACCAAAACTACCTCTTTTTCTGCCTGTAATTGCTGGTGCATTGTTTATGTTTTTACTATCAATTTTAAACAATCAAAGGAAAGGAGAAGTGTCGTCCATCTAACTCTTATGTTAAATGTTCCCATTATTCCAGAACATATATTGTAACTATGTTTACCAAATTGTCTGATATATTACTATTATGTTCTGACAAATCTCAACAGGCTTGACAAAACTAAGTTGTTTGTGGTAGGAGCTGGTCTCTTTACGGGTGTTACTGTGGCCTTGTATCCAGTATCTGTTATAAAGACCAGGATTCAGGTTGCTTCAAAAGATACAGCTCATAAGAATGCATTAGATGTTTTGAAAAATATTGTAAAAGTTGATGGCATACCTGGCCTATATAGGGGATTTGGTACCGTTATTACAGGTGCTATTCCTGCTAGGATAATCTTCCTTTCATCTTTGGAGATCACAAAGGTGGCTGCTATAAAAATGTTGGAGCCATTCAAGATTTCTGAACCAGTGCAGGCTGCTATAGCAAATGGCCTTGGTGGAATGGCAGCATCTGTATCGGCTCAAGCTGTATTTGTTCCCATTGATGTGGTACGACATAAAACCTAAGTATTATATATTCATTGGATTTATATGATTTTCTCCATTTTCTTTTTTAATTGTGATGTTGCATTAATTGGTTCTCTTCATATATGCTGGTTGAAAAATGTTCATGATGTAGTGTAGGACAAATAAATTGTCCATTAAGTTGACAAATAAATTGTTCATTACGTTGGGATGAGTTTATCATGTGTTTATCGATACATGTTTTCTACTATGTGACTTCATCAAGTTGGAGAATTTCGTCTATTTGGTGGGAATCATGTATTAAGTTTTGTAAGAAATGAAATTGTAGTTTGATGTGCTATCTCTTATCACTTACCCTCTAAGGCTCTGCAAATAATTTTCACAAACATGGATGATCCACATTTGACTAGCAAATTGTAAGTTTTACTTTAATGTCATGCTATATGACTTAAACTCTATGCTTCAAAGTATCTAGGGTAAGATTTTGTTCTCTAATTATTGCCAAGACACATGAACAGAGATACATGTCAAAATTTATATCTGGTAATTATGTTTTAATTGCTCTAGAAGCTTTAATAAAATGCAACATGCGCTCACATTGTCTTGACATGATAGGTATTGCGGAACTCAATATTATAGATCCTGTTATTTATGTCTTTTGTACTATGTAAAATTTATCGTATATGCCACTAAAATGATATGGTCAACCCTCAGTTATAATTTATATTATAGGAAAATATGCTCTTCCATTTACAATGGGTGTAGTGACTGTGACTATATTGCTTTGAATTATTAAACATTTTTTGTTCTTTTTTTCCTTAAGATTTTAATTCAATGATCAGCTTTTTTTGTTTGGTATTGCACTTGAAGTCTTTGATTTTTTTTTAAAAACTTAGTTTCACTTATTAATTTATTATTTCCAAAGCTGTATTGGATAGCTAGCTATCATTGGCACATTGTTTCGGTTGAAACTTGCTTAGAAGTCAGGATTAAGGAATATGCAATACAATATAATATTTTATGAAAGATTTGTGCTTCTGTATTGTTAAGAAAAATTTGAGTCAATTGTTATTGGCATTCTCTGTAACGTAAAGGAGCTGTACCGGCTTCTCAAAGTAGCCCTTAGTTCTGGAATTTATTATTGCTTCTAGTGGGTCTTATGGTGTCTAAGTAGGAAAGCCTTCCATTGAAGTTATCATTGCGCTTAGTAAGAACAAATCCAGTAGAAAACCAATTGTGATAAATAAAAAATGCTTGATATTGTGCTCTTTATGTTACTTTTTCAAATCCTTATCATTAGGCACTAATGGGATATTTTGTTACCTTACACCATGATGCATATTAGATTCTTTTTTTCACGTGATGTCCCTCTGATGACCTTCTTTAGAAGGATCGCCTTGTACAAATCATTTAGTGATTTACTATTTAAAAATGCTGCTATGTTTTCTACCCTTTAAAGGTGTTCTATAAAATTTCTTTCTTGGTTCAAGTTAGTTGTGATCCATGTTGTCATAGTTCAGTGCTCTGTTGATTGTTGTTGTCAATTATAAGTGATATGTTTGTGAAGAAATTCAGTGGAATAGCATTAGAATTAACAGTGCAATACCAATTAAAGTAAACATAAAATTTTAAATCTTAATGGATATATAAATAAAGTCTTCTTCTGTTAGATTAGCCAGAAGTTGATGGTACAAGGATATTCCGGTCACACACGTTATAATGGTGGACTAGATGTGGCTCGAAAAATCATCAAGATGGATGGATTTCGGGGCTTGTACAGAGGATTTGGCTTGTCTATTATGACCTACTCCCCGTCAAGTGCAGTATGGTGGGCAAGCTATGGATCTAGTCAGCGTGTAATCTGGAGGTAATACACTTGCCGGCTGCATTCTTGAGACATGAACTTGTTTAAATTAGGTGTTGTTCGTTGTTCTGTCATTCTTTTGTTATCCAACATTATGCCACTTCACTGAATGCTATTTGAAAGGTTATTGTTACATTTCCTCCTAACATTAAAGTTTGGTTTACTTGCTATATTTTGTATCATCATTCATTTTTATTTATTTTTTAAAAATATTATATAACCTTTTAACATTTAAATTACATCTTGCAATTTTCAGTAAGAGGAAATGCAATATACTTTTGGATGCAGGGACATCTGCAGATCCACTTTGCCATTGTTTTGTCAACTCGAGTGAAATCATTTTTGAGAATTTTTGGTGGTAATCTTTTTTTTTCTTTCTTAGGATGATAAACTCTGAACTGATACGTTATAACTTGTTATTTAAGTCCCACCTTTGCTACTGTGTCAATATTTTAGAGAAATATGCATGACCCACATTTGATCAATGTCGTATGTTCTGTTTGGAAGATGAATCAGCATTTCTGTGTCTTAATGCGATCTAGGGGAAACTTCCGTTGTCCTATTTTCCAACACACTTATATTTTGGTCTCCATTCACAACTCAATTATGGCTTCTCATATGACCTTAGACGTGCGAGGGTTCTGCTTTAAAGTTAATGCAAGCTAGAAATTTGCTAGTAAAATCATGTTGTATAATTTGTTTAAGATAATCTTCAGCTTGTGCCAAATTTTTGCACATGTCCTGAAGTTTGGGCTTCTTCATGTAACTTAAGATTTTACTGCACGTGCAGGCATTGGATACATTATACATATTTCATTACAATTACCTTTTTTTTTTAAAAAATTATTCCAGGGTCTTTTAACCATTGTTGTTGGATTTTAAAGTTATACCTTCATCATAATTGAAAATTTGATAGTTTAGTGATATGGTTGTAAAATGTGCTTATTTATTTTCCAGATGTTGCATTTTTTATGTTTATGTTTTGTTTTTGGAAGGTATTTTGGATAAAATGTAGGTAACAGATGGAAGGAGCGAGTCAGGAATCAAAACGAGGGAAAATGAGCAAAGTGGTGTTCAACGCCTAGTCGGCAGAACCAGTCCCTTGGAGTGCACAGACATAAAGCTTGGAAACTCGGTGTTGGACCTGGAGTGCTGGGGGCAGCGCCTAGGCGCCTGAATTGGGGAAGATTTCCTGAGAGCTTGGAAACCCGACGTTGGGGCGCCAGAAGAGCAACGCCTATACGCCGCGACACTAGCGTCTAGGAGTTGTAGAAGGACAAATAGTAGCCCCCCAATGCCACATATGGGCGCCTTGGCGCCAGTACACGAATTTTGATAGTTTGTGCAGTTCAAACTTTGGTTCATTATGGAGAAGATATAAATTGGATGAATATGGAAATTTAAGGGCTTTTTATCATTTTTCTTCCATCATTTGAGGGAGGAATTGGAGGAAAAGTCCAAAGCTTTTGCAGAGAGATTAGAAGAGAGGAAAAAAGAGAGATTAGGAGGATTGAGAGAGTTGAGTGTTTGCTATTAGTGACATATCCTCAAACTACTTGTTTGTTAAGGAGATATGTGTGTTTACATTGTATTTTCTTTAGAACTTCTTTGTAAACACTCTGATTTTGATGTTTATGCATAACAGTAAGTTTGTTTTGATGAGATTTGTCATGAATTGTGAGTAGTCTTCTTGTTTCTTTTTTTAATTGAGATTGTGAAAGGATAGGACAAAAGTTTTGAGATTGAATTTATTAGTGTTGTTTTAACTTGAGAACTTAATTTACTTTCTACTTAGCCATTTGATTGTTAAAACCTTTTTTAAATATTGATATCCGAGAGGATTCTATATGGAGCAAAAAGAGTTAACAACATGAACTCATTGGAATAAGGTTATTGCCAATGGATTTTTGCAATCTTCTAGGAGTCATTTTCCTTTGAGCAGATCAAGAGTTTTAGGGAACTAAATTAAAGACCGCTAATCTTTTTTAGATCATCGAAAGTGCATAATGAACAATTTTTCTTTTGATTGATACTATTGTTGAATCTAATCCTTAGTTATATTCATCACTTTATCAATTAGAGAGGGAAAATTCTCTAACCCCTGATTTGATAAAAGAATCTTTTTACTTATTAGGATAGACGTGTTTTTCATAACGTTTGGATAGGTTTAAATTTGAATTTGCAATTCAACATTTCAAGCTATGATTGACATTTATAGGCTAGAATTTTTTTAATTAAATTCATCTCGTTTTCTGTGGGATTGGCAACTGATCTTCAATCCCAGTACTACTGATACGACTAGTACACTTGCGTGAGCCGCCCGTGCTTTGCAGCACCTGGTACGTGTCATGTTTTTGGTACTGTTGCCGGGGAACGATGGTTTATTTAAATTAGAAAATTTTTGTTAAACTTTTAGTTCTTAGATTTGAAAATTGTAGTGTCATTGTTTCCTGTTTCTTTATTTTTCTGTCTTTATTTGCGAAATCCAAAAACACCCTGTCTCTTACTTTTAATCCCTGCATAGTACTTCTTGTTTACTTGTTCTTGATTTAATAGTTTATTTTGCTTTTGTAGCTTTATTTGAATTGCCTATTATTTTCTTTAGCTTAGAGGTTCCTTGCTAGTTGAGCCTACTTAGTATATGTGTAGTTTAGGACCTTCAAGATTTGAACCCTACAATTATGAGTTAGAGAGAACCGTTAAAAGATTCTGGAAACTTAAAAGACTGCAATTTCACGAGAAATGATTGACATACCCGATAACATTACTGAAACCCATAATCAGAACAACAAGCGTCGATCCTTAAAAGACTATGCCAATCCTACGACAATTGAGATCCATCTTAGTATCCACATCCCTACTGTAGAAGCCAATACCTTCAAACTAAAGACTACCATCATCCAAATTATGCAGAACAATCAGTTTGGGGGATACCTTTGAAAGACCCTAATCTCCATTTAACAAGTTTTTTAGAACTCTACGCCACATTCTGCTATAACGGTGTCTCAAATGACGTCGTGAGGCTAAGAAATTTTACTTTCTCCTTGAACTGAAGCCTACTATCATCCAAAATTGTGCAGAACAATCAATTTGGAGGACATCTTCAAAAGACCCCAATATCCATTTATTGAGTTTTTTAGAACTTTGACCCACATTTCACTATAACGGTGTTTCCATCGACGCCGTGAGGCTAAGACATTTCCTTTTCTCCTTGAGGCATAAAGCAAAAATGTGGTTGAATTTCTTAGCTCCTGGATCTAGTTGGACTTGGAATGACTTGACCCAGAACTTTCTAGCGAAGTTCTTTCCATCTTCAAAAATCGCCAAACTTAGAAATGACATTACTTCTTTTCGCCAGCATGAATGTGAATATATTTATGAAGAATGAGAAAGGTTTAAGGAACTCCTTAGGAAGTGTCTCCACCACGTATTACTAGACCATTTGATTATTCAGACTTTCTACAATGAGTTAGTAGGATCTCTTAGGTTGATCATAGACGCTCCTGCAGGTGGTTCCCTTATGTCAAAGCCTTTCATGAGGCTTATTCTTTGATCGAGGAGATGATAACAAATAATTTTCAATGATCTTCTAATCGAGTGAACCCTAGGAAGGTGGCCAACGTACATAACACAAACCTTTTATCTATTTGACTTTCTACGTGGCGGATATCTCTAGGAAGTTAGATGAATTAACCTTGAATCAACCACAAGGACCCAACAATCAGAGGAAAATTCATATGGACAAATGGTGGATCGTAGTGTTTTGCCTATATAGATCATAAGTGTCATCAACAATAGGTTTAACAACCCTTATTTCAATACTCAAAATCCTGGTTTGAAGAGTCACCATAATTTTAATTGGAATAATAATCAAGGGGTAGGGAACCAACAGTGCGGTTATAATAAAACAAATTTTTTGGGAAATTGGAATAATCAGGGTAGTACCAACTCAAGATCTCCTTACTCACTTGGCTTTAACCCGAATCAACAGTTTAAGTAAAAGAATTTGACTTTGGAGGAAGCTATGTTGCAGATGGGGAAGCAACTGCAGAGTCAAGCTGCAGCCATAAGGAGCTTAGAAAACCAATTGGGTCAAATGATAAATTATCTTAGTAATAGAACTCAAGGATCTCTTCCCAGTAACGTTGAAATTAATTCTAAGGAGAAGAGTAACAAACATGTCAAAACCATTAAATTGAAAAGTGGAAGAGAATTAGAGGAAGTAGCGAGAAAGGAGCCTGGAGTGGTAGAAGAAATTCCCGAGCCTAAAAGATTTATTGAAAACTCTTTAAAGGACTTAGGAATACTAGCCTCACCCCTTAGGAAGGACTTAGAAATACGACACCCACTATTTCCACGGAGATGTCAAAAAACAAAAATTAGATCAATAATTTTTTCGATTTTTGGAAGTGCTTAAGAATTTGGCTATCAACATCCCTTTTTTCGAGGCTTTAGAGCAGAGGCCTAGCTATGTGAAGTTTATGAAAGATATCATGAATAAGAAGAGGAAGCCAGGAGACTTTGAGACTGTATCACTTAACAAGGAGTGTAGTATTATCATACAGAAAAAGCTCCCTCAGAAACCCAGGAGTTTCACCACTCTGTGTTATAGGAGAGATTTTTTGGGAAGGCCTTACGTTACTTATGTGCTAGCATCAAGCTTATGCCCCTGTCGATCTTTAAGAGGTTAGGATTAAAAGAAATCCAACCTACCACTGTAATTCTTCAGCTTGCTGACCTATCTCTTACATATCCTAGGGGGGTTATAGAGGATGTTCTAGTTAAGATGGATAAGTTTATCTTTGAGGCTGAATTTATTATTTTAGATATAAGGGAGAATAAAGAGATAGCCATCGTCATAGGTGGATCTTTCCTAGTCACTGGTAGGGCGATGATTGATGTGTAGAAGGGGGAGTTGACTATGTAAATGATTAGGAAATAACTTTTAACGTTTTAAATTTATGAATTTCCCTTATGAATCAAATAAGGATTCCTGTTTTAGG